CGCCCCCGGCGCCGCATATAAAGGCGCGGGCTGCGGGCGCGGAGCTGTCCGTGCTACGTGCCGAGGTGTGGGGGCCGCGTCCCTGCGCACGGGAGATGCTGCCCATCGGGAAGAGCGCGAAGCAACAGGGCAAGCGGGTAACTTAACACCCCGCGTCCTTCCCCGGTGCCCCGGGGGCGGCGCGGAGCGGGGAGGTAACCCCAGGAGCGCGGCCGGGCAGCGGCAGAGCCGCATATCCCCTTTCAGAAGGACGGGATTGTCACCGAGAGCCCCCTTCTTGCTCGTGAGCACTTTTTTGCGGTGTTATGTGTGCACCGTGTAAGGCTGTGGCAGGAGGGCAGGAGGTGGGAAGGGCTCTGCAAGTTCTGGGCCCTTCCAGTAGATGAGCTATAAGTGAAAGAGGTGGTGAGGTACTTGTTCTGCTTTTAATTTCCTGGCACATACCCTTGCTGCCTAATTTTGGATCCACAGCAGAAGACTATATGCAGTCCTATGCCCATGCTGCAGGGAATGGACAGATAGAAGCATCCCTCAAGGGATCTGGATAGTGCTTTTGAGACAGAATTTCCCTTCTGCTGGTAGAAAGATGGGGTTTGGGTAGATCAAGCAGGATTTAGGTATATCGACCAGTTTTCACTTACCTGGCTCAGTTATATTCCTGAGGCTGGATGGGAGGATCACATATGCAGCTATCTGCACACTTTTCATGGATAGATGTGTGGACTATGTGGTGCAGGGAAGCAGTAAAAAGATGAATCAAAAGAGCCTTGGTTACCTTACAGGTACTGTTTCTTGTTATTTAATACCAGATATGAGTACCACTGGATTACCTAACAGTACAAATTTGATCTGGATTGGGCATAAACACAGTCGCATTTTTGCTGAGCAGAACAAAAGAGTGTTGATGCTGAATTTATGCTGGCTGTGTTCTTGTTAAACCAGTCATAGTTTATCCACTATAGATAAGTTTATTTTATGTGAAGAGATGATATAAAATCTATCAAAGTCTCCTACAATGTTAGTTCCATTTTGAATGAATCTGAACTAAGTTTGTATTAAGTACTCTGTGCTGTATGATCATGTCACCTTTGATCTGCTAGTAGGAACCCAGATGCTAGATTTATTTATTACACATTGTATATTAATATTCCATATAATATTAAATTGTGGCTTTTGTGTGTCAAAGGTGAACATTATTTCAGATTGTAGTTTAAAAATGCTAGAATTATGGAGGAATGCTGCTGTTAAATCCTAGAAGTGATTTGTTAGAAGAAAAAGATCTGTAACTGCAGTGCTTTTAAATATAATATCCATATATGGTGCCAACATGTACATATTACCTAATCTTCAGTTACAAGCAACAGCTGAGGTTGCTTGTACATTTGATATTTTCTCCCCTGCATTCCTGTTCTCTTGATGTTAAACTCCTGATTCTGGCGCTCTCAGTAAAAGACTCCTGGACAGAAAAAGAAGCAGGGACTCAATGATCCCTGCAATCCCTTGGGTGGTTTTTCAGGTCCCATTTCAGGCAGTCTGTTGCAACTGCAAATTGGTTAACGGCAAATATAATCTTTATAAAGCTTCACGCCTGCTACACTTGCAACTAAATCCTCTTCATAGACAGGCATGACTGGGAGTCACTGCAGTTTTGTACACTGAGTTTTGCTGCTGAAATCAAGATAAAAGCTTGCATACTCTCCTAAAGCTGTGACGTTGATAAGGTCAATATTTTGGCAATGTGCAGTGGAATGTGATGCAGAGATCTGCAAACGGCCACTTGCCCAAGCTCATATATCCACTGTAGGGAGTGGATAGCCATAACTTTGCTGCTGTGTCAACAGCTGAGCCAAAAACCATGAGGCTGTCAGCCAGTCTTGGGTGGCTCTGAGCAGCCCAGCACTGCTGTGTGTGGTACAGGAGCTGGCACAAGTGGCACAGTGCTCCTTCCTGCTGGAAAGACGTGTCCTCGTCCTTCCCAAAGGGCTCTGCTGGGAATGCAGTAATGTTTGTCTTTCCTGGAGGAGTGAATTAATGAAGCAGTAATGATGAAGAAAACTCATTTATTAAATGTTGGAGGGTAAATATTAGAAAACCCTTCTGCTCAGTACCCAAACCCCACTCAGGGGGTACCCCCCCATGTCCTAAAAGCGTAAGTCTCTTATTTCCAGCTCCTTTCAAAGCTCATTCACTACTGCCTGAAGCAGCCAACACTAGTATGCAATCAAAAAAGATACCTATGGAGGGTAATTTCAGTCTTACTTTTGATACACATATTTTCTTCTGCATCCACTACCTTTGCTGATGTAGTAAGTCTGCATTCATCCACTCTTGAAAGGCAAATGGAATTATGGTTATGATCTAATAGTAGAATTTAGCACCTAGAGATGCTCTGTAATAACAAGGTACTTTGTGGAAGATTTGAAGCAGCCAGTGAAGCAATGAAAGGAATGCAACAGAAATATCTTTTAGGTCCAGTAAATATATATTGTTATGTTTTACATTTTTACAAAAAAAAAAGGCAGGAGCACAATTAATCATAGGATACTATAATGTTTATAATTTGGCATCTTGAAACATTTCTGGGATATGCAAAGCAAGCAGGATTTTCTTTCATATTTTAAGTCTAGGTAAGCAAACCCAGGCTAGTGAAAAGAACCTGTCAAGAAAATGAGGGCCAGGATCACAGCATTTTGAAAGGTATCTTATTTGCTAGGAAAATATTCCATGTTTGTTTCTTTAGTCTGTTGTGCCATCTTGTGTTACAAGCTCCTTGTGCTGTGGCTCTGTAGAGCTGACCTTTGTGGCTGAAGAACAGATGTGTCCCTAATAAACTGGGCAGTAATATTAGTGTTTCATTTAAAATAGTCACCTGCTTTTACAGGACAGGCTGGGACTGTGCCATTTACTTTCACAGGAGTGGAACTGGACCATTGACTTCCAGTTTGGGGCATTATCCATCTGAAATAAAGTCTCTTAGTGAAAAGTCTGTGTAAAATATATGCGTATATTAAAGCATTATGTTCTTGTAAAATAAACCACTTGGCATTCTCTTAAAGAGAACTTCAAAGAAAAAATGGAAAGACCCAGAAAGCCAACAAAGCTGAAGAACTATAATTATTAACTTTTTCTCCTGTTTTCTTCAGGGTATTCTAGAGCGCTTAGATGCTGGAGAAATTGTGATTGGAGATGGAGGATTTGTCTTTGCCCTTGAAAAGAGGGGATATGTAAAAGCTGGGCCCTGGACCCCTGAGGCAACTGTGGAACATCCAGAAGCAGGTCAGTTTTACTGGAGAAAAGACACAGTGATTTGTCTTAAGGGACTAGTTGGCATAGATAAGACCTGAGCCATCTTGTAATTGCTACTGATGTGATAATAGCTATTTATAGAACATACTGTTCATGTCTGTAACATGCTGATAATTTATAAGCCCTTTATAGGCTATTTATACATATACTCTTCACTGAAAATTTATTAATTTCTTTTAGGGCAGTGTGCCCTCCATTGCTGCTCATTTCTCCTGCATTCTCAAGGGTCATGTTACTTTGAAGGCAGGTGTGAAGAACAGAAGGAGCAACTGGTTGGCTGGGCCAACTGGTATAAAAGCTACAAGCCCTTCTTCAGTTTGCAAAGAGAGAGAGAGGGAAAGGAAGGGAAGCTTGAGAATGCAGCACTGAATGGAAAAAAGGAGTCGAAGGCAATTATGTCTGTTATGTGACAGGGGAAGTTTGTCATGACTGACAAGTTCAGAAATGAGATCTAAATACTTATTTTGAGCAGGATCAGGAATCTTGGCTACTGCTATGTGCTGAGCACTGTGTATATGAACTTCTCTCCTACTAATTCAAATTCATATCTTGTGTGACATGTCCAACTTGTGGCAGATTGAAATGAGAACTCAGTATGGCATGTCTGATTCCTAAGATGCATCAAACTGCTATTCAGCTTCATGTGTAGCCGTTGTCTCTGCTTCTCAAACGGTGGTGGAAAAGAGAGCTTAAAGGAACATGCCAGAAGTCATACAAGATGTAAATGACAGGGTGCTTTGGATTGTTGTTAGATTGAAATTGGACCATGAAAAGCTCAGGCAGATTCCAAGGCCTTTCTCAACAGCAGTTCTGCTACAGTCTATGTTCCTGGGTTGCTGGCAAAAGAAGCATTGTATTAGATGAGTGTGGTTGCTCAAGGCTCTTATTAGGAATGAAGTGCTATAGTAGAAGAGAAAATCAAAGAAGCCTAGCTCCTCTATGAAAGCAGTCATGAATAGCAGTCACTTAGTCATGAATATGAAATTGACTCCAGCAACTCCCATTTGAGCTCTCCTTGTGTGTAAGGCTGCTTGCTGTAACTGAAGGCAGTAATTTTATTCTCATGGAGCATGCACATGTTTGCCTAATGACACAGCTTGTCTGTAAACAATGGGGCTTGTAAACCAAGAGTTCAGGAAAACATCTCCAAATGTCTGCCCTAGAAACTGCAGTATTCTCATGTCTCTAAAATACATCGGGGATAAATTATTCATTTATTTGCTTTAAGACGGCTTTTAACCCTGTTTTACATGACCAACAATGTCCCAGAAACTACAACAATTGTTTTGTGAGTGTACACGGAACCTACTGACAGTTCCTCTTCTGCTGCTGTTATGGCAATTGCAGTGTACTTCTCACAAAGTGACAAAGTCAGACCTGCTTCTAGACAGCCTGTTCCCAAAGTCCTGATGTAGGAAACACATCCACTAAAACTGGTACCAACCTTTTCTTCAAAAGAAAGGCTTTTGGGTCTGTAGTAAAATCATCATTTCTATCTTTAAGAGAAAAGACGCAGAGAGACTCACTTTTCCAGGACAACCAGTCATGTTTCAATTAAGGATATTCTTACCAAAATGGAGTTCTGCTCTTAGCCAAGGCTGAGTTGTACAGAAGGAATGGAAGAAAGGAGAATAGTGGAGATAATGGAACACAACATTCTTCTCTATAAATATCATCTTGTTCCTTTGTTTGTTTTCAAGATGTTTCTTCATACAGAAGCTAAGAAGGTGTATGGCTTTTCTTTTCATATGCTGATCCTCCTATCTTCTGTCCCTCATCATACTTCATTTTGCCAATTGTCTGCTCTCCCTCACAAACTATTATGCAGTTCTATAAAGTGAAAATGGGAGGTCTGATGGACTGCAGAAAGTAGAACAGTGGCAGACAAAACTGGATTTAGTGCTGAAGCAAAATGGAAATCTTCAGTCATTTTTAGCAGAGAGTAACTAAAGAGAATGTTTTCTACTGAATGTTCTAAGAATGGGAAGAAAGGAATTCTATGCAACAGGTAGTACTGCTCCCATCCATATCATAAATGGCTTTTCCAGTAAATTCAATACCACTTATTTTACAGTACTCTTACTCCCTGAACAAAAATAAAATAATACAGAATAAGAGTCAATGAACATTTAATTTGAGGATAACCATAGTAATAACTATCCATTACTTCCTTTAATTCTTTGCAGTTCGTCAGCTTCATCGCGAGTTCCTCAGAGCTGGATCAAATGTTCTGCAGACATTCACCTTTTATGCCAGTGAGGACAAACTAGAGAACAGGGGAAACTATGTAGCTGAGAAGATCACTGTGAGTAAAATACTATTTTAATGGAGCTATGAAAATAGTGGATTAATTTGAAAAGGTTTAATAGAGAGATTACTGAGTATTTTCAAATTTTCATTTTTTTTCTGTATTTGAGGACCAAAGAATGAGATGATATGATTCTATAGTCTGGAATATTAAGAAGACAAAGTTAATGAGAGAAAATGATAAAATAGGGCAAGGGTGAAGGAAGGAAAGAGAGTGCCTACATCTTCCAATTTGAAGAGATGAGTTTAGTACGGTTTTGATCCAAAGAGTATGGGGAGGACTAAATGCACAGATAACAGAATCAATTGGGAAAAAAAGGAAGGCTTTAACATTCAAACAAACAGTGAAGAATCCTAGAGAATGACTGACTAATAAGACTGCATGATTTTTAGAATCTTATCTCCAGTAAAGTAACAACTAATAAATCCAAGGTATATATACTACGGTTAAAATTCACCTTTTTGTGTATATGGTTAACCTGGCCCAGCAGTGAAAGTACTATGAGGGTCCTTTACACAGAGATGAGTTCTGGAGGATGTTGGGTGTCACTGGGGATTTTGGCACAAACATACATAGATAGTTCCTTCAGGATTAGAAGATTTATCATCCTTTCCTCTATGGTTGTACTGTCTGTTCCAGCCTCTGGTAGATAAAGAGGATTCTTCAAGGGGAAGAGGTAAGAATTACAGCTGTGAAGTTGGATCAACCCAGAAGTTACAGCAATCTGGACACTAGAGAAACTTCTGAGTCTTAATTAAGAGTTTACCTTTGCTCTAAAGCCGTTGCACATATCAGGATGAAATATATAGCAATGTTCTCAAATTGTATTTGACATCAGCTCTCACCTGTGTGGGTGGCTTGTTGAATAAAAATAAACAGATCTGATAAACAGGTGTATCTGTTATGCAAGTATGACAGTCTAATTTCTTTTTTTTCCAGTTAATAATAACCCTGGAGCCTGTTTCTGTGCATTAGAATATGAGTAGAATGAACCATAATTCTTCACATCCTAAAGAGGAAAAGCGCTGGTCGCTATCAATATTGAGATACCAGAACAGCTTAGAAGTTAGTAATGTGGAAATTACTCAGAAATGACTAGTTCTGCTTCCTGGGGTGGAGTCAGAACCTATGTTTTAATGAGTATCTTTCTCATTCTTGCACCCATTTAGAATGTGCTCATATTTTGCCTGCATTTTTAACTCTTCCAGACTAGCTGACAGAGTTCCAATGAGAGGATGAATGTTTATTGTTGCTTGCAGCTTTACTTTTACAGTTCAGATAGGCTTCTGTGTCAATGGTAAAAATAACAGTTCAGGGGGTTTATAAACAGAAAGCTGTTTAATGGGTGGAAGAAACATAACGCATAAGGTCATATGGTGAAATTCATCTGAAATGAAGTATCTTTATAGCCAACAGATATGACTTTCAAATGTCTCAAGTGGTAGTCCCAGAAATGTGATGCCTCTGCAACAAGTCTTTCTGCAATTCTTGCTGCCATGCAAAATGATCTGAGTGTGGGAGAGCAGCTGGAAACTAGAATGCGTGGCAGCAATGCTTTCAAGGTTGGGTTGCTGCCAGCTCCTCCTGACACTGACTGGTTTATGGCTCCTGCTCCTGGAATTCCCAAGCACCAGTGCAAATGGAAGGCACTCTGGCACCAATAGCCTGAAAAATCACCTGGGTTTTTTGAAGCAACTGTGGAAAACTTCAGTGGAAAGAAGCCAGTGTAGCTCCTGAGGCTGGAAGTAGTCCATGGGCACCTGAGAAACCTGCTCTGGTCAATGCTTGCTTACCCATCTCAAATAACATGGTCTTTCCACCCTCATTTTTTTTTTTTCAGTTTAGCTGCTTTTCTAACAAGCTTTTCTAGTCAACCTGATTTATGTATAGAGGGAATCTGTCCTTGAGTCTAGGTAATTAATCATGTTAATTAATCAGTATGTTTCACTTCACTCTTTATAAATTGATAACTTTACCTTCAGATAAAAAATGATAGCTTTAAAAAAAAAACTTCAGTAAATATATATGAATATTATATTTTAAATTATTAGGAAAATTAATAAAATACTAAAAAGATTGAAATGAATAATCAATTGAAATTGCTTTTTTCTTCCACCTACAAAATCTCAAAATAGAGGCATAAACAATACACTTCGGTATCCCTAACTCATCTTCTGAGAGGTAGAAGAAAATCTATTTCACACCAAATATTTGATTTTTACAGATTATTTGTATAAGAAAATTTGTTAGAGCTAATATGCTTTTGTATTAGTATTTGATAATATGGTAAGTTATACGTAACAAGGAATTCTTTGTTTCCTAATATTTCTCTTAGTTTTATTGAAAGATGCCAGTCTTCCTAATCAATCCCAAAAGGCTATTAAAGTAAAAAGGAAATTAATACGAAGAACTCCCTATGGCTTTTGCTTATTTCATAGTTCATTTTTTTTTTTTAACTGTAAAACTACTTGCATCTCTGACCAGGTAAAACTGATGTAACTATGTTCATACAGGGTCAGAAAGTTAATGAAGCTGCTTGTGACATTGCAAAAGAAGTGGCTAAAGAAGGTGATGCCTTAGTGGCTGGAGGAGTCAGTCAAACACCATCCTACTTAAGCTGCAAGGATAAGGCAGAGGTCAAAGCGGTCTTTCGAAAGCAGCTAGAAGTCTTTATGAGAAAGGAGGTGGACTTCTTAATTGCAGAGGTAAATTATATATATATAAACACCTTCAATTGATACAGCATGTAAACTTTAGATGTCTAGTCTTTTGGGGAAAAGTTAGTCCATACTGCTTCTTCCTTTAGAATCTTCTGCCAAACATTTACTCTAGTAGTATCAAGTATTTTTTGTAAACACATAATAGAATATTGAAGTGTTCTAAATTTCTGTCTTAAGTCAAATCATGTGATCTTATTTGTGTCCGTATTTCTTCCCGCTTGTCTGCAAGCAGTCAATCCATGATGGCAATTCTTTACAGATAAATTCCTAATTAATGGGCATTCTTATTCTGGAAAAAAAAATATTTTTTGATTAATCTACTGATTTTATTATCCTTTAACTGTGCAGTAAGTGAATTCAACAGAATTTTGCTAGTGTAAATCAGAAAAGGCTTATTTTCTTGTTGGTGGATTTTGAGTTTGAATTAATGTATTTATGCTTCATCTCCAAGGAAAGAAATCAGTCCAATTTTTCTTTCTTCTAGTATTTTGAACATGTTGAAGAAGCCGTCTGGGCAGTTGAAGTTTTAAAAGAATCTGGAAAGCCAGTTGCAGCTACAATGTGCATTGGTCCAGAGGGAGACATGCACGGTGTGCCACCTGGACAATGTGCTGTCCAGCTTGTCAAGGCTGGTAAGAATCTGCTTTTATTTGCCCTTTAAAATTATGAAAGTGAGTGAAGCCTTGAAACACGGAGATAAATGGGTGTGTATTTTAACTTTCCTGATTACATCAATAAAAGTTTTGACTCCGTAGAATAATTTCCACGTGCAGTTTAGTAGAGAAGAAGTCTTGCAAAAATACATGTATAAAAATGCAGCTATGGAATCCTTATTAAATACCAAACTGGTATTAGGGACAGTACCGACAGGCAGCTGTATCAAGGAGAACAAATGATAAAACCTTTCAAATTCTCGGCTTAGAATTATGAAATATACGGTCAACCCAAGCCCGCTTTGATTCCCTGCTCCTGTTTTTTGAAATTTCTGGAGTATAGCTCAAATCCAGGATGAGAGAAGAGGATGAAAAGCTTAATGTTTTGTCTTTCAAAGACAGTATTTTCTGCAGAAAACTACAGGAGAAGGCATGATGAATGATGCAGAGATTTTTATAATTCTGAACTATGCTTTTCCTTTTATTTGGAGTGCAAATCCAAAGGTGAGACATGTGCTAGGAACCTACTGGACATCTGCATGTATGGTTGTACACCAGTTTTCACTGATAAGACTAACTGATAACACAGGCAACTGCATGAGGGTGAGAAATGTGACTCACTCCAGCGTTCAGCCAGGAAGGCAAGGAGAAGTTCAACTGAGATGGAAATGGATTGATCTGCCTTAGGAGAGCTGAGGTTGCCTTCAACACTTGAGTTCAGGTGGTAGTGGTAGGATAGTGGTACTGTAGAGATGGACTGCTTTGCTTCCAGAAGGCTATGGCTAGAACCTTCCCCCTTCCACTTCCTGAAAAATGAATTGAAAAACTATATTCTTCCTTCCAGGTGCTTCTATTGTTGGAGTCAACTGCCATTTTGATGCAGATATTTGCCTGAAAACTGTGATGCTTATGAAAGAGGGCTTGGAGGCTGCTAAACTGAAAGCATATCTGATGTCTCAACCACTTGCTTTCCATACACCCGACTGCGGGAAGCAGGGATTTATAGATCTTCCAGAATTTCCTTTTGGTAAGACATGGGCATCCTTTTTTAATTATCTGACACTCCCTTCCACGCCCCAGTTTTTAGCTAAGCTGAGACTGCAAGGCTTCCTTCTGGGCAGTAGCATCACTCCCCTCTGGCATATCCTCTCTGGCATTTGGCACAGAGGGCTTCCATTTTAATATTAGGTTAAAGAAGGGAATGGTGATGCTCTACATCTTCCATATAGAGAAGGTATTTTAGCAGCCTCATAGCATGCAATTGAAAATGAAATTATGGCAAAGTAGTTAAAATGCATGACCTAAATTCAGATCTGATTAAGTGCATTAATTCTATTGACTTCAGTGGAGATGCCTTTTACCTCTGAAACTGAATTTCTGCATACTACAGTATATCATTTACCACAGAACCAGAAACCAGATTGAATATACTCACAGATCTTCCGTTATTCTGGTTTAGTGACTCCCTAGTACTAATATTTATATAAAGTTCAGAATTACTTCAAGTGTTTGTTCCAGGTGTATTAAATACTGAAGAAACAGGTCCAATTGCATAGTCAGAAATCCACCTATTGTAAACCCAGAAGTTGTTCTTTCCCAGTCAGACTCCAAACTCATCAACCTTTTTTAACTTCATTGGAGCATAAACATCTAATTTCTCTTACTGGATTTTTTGTGTGTAGTAAGAAATATGACTGTTTTTACATAATTTCTTACCAATGTTTCTATAATAAAGAACACCCCTTTATGATTGTATAATCAGTCCCCAGTCCAGTCATGCTTATCAGCCCATCCAGAGACTACATTGTTGAGCATAAGAAATACTCCTCCTTAAACAGGACATAGAAGATAACAAATATTACTTCAATATTCATTCCTCTTAAGAGAGGAAGACAAAATCAGCTAAAACACTTTATAGTTTATTAGAAGAAAATGCCTTTATTTTCAGATATATACACTTTTCTCAAGGTCAGTCTATAAAATTCTAAAGCTTGAGTTTATAACAAAAATATGAGAGAGAAATATGATTTTCAGGAGAATCTTTTTTCTTTCTTCCTTCTACACAAATCAAGAAAAAAGAATAAAGCATGAGCCTGAACACTCATTAGATGATGATAATATGTCTGTGTTCTGAAAATAGCCTGAGGTATTTAAGTGTTGGAAACTCATTTAGCCTATTCATTTAGCCTATCCATTCCTTTATAGAACTCCCCCCCCCCCCAAAAAAAAAAAAAAAAAAAACAGATGCAGTAAGTAATCAACTAAATTCAGATTCACTGTTTGATTTGTTCTGATTGTTGGCTCATATGTTATAAGCAATTTATGAGATCTCAGTTTTCAGAAATTTCCTGAGTCAATTTGAGAAGTCTGGTTCAGTAAAGGTTTTCAATACCCAGAAGGAGCAACTCATCACTTGATGGCAGATAAGCAGTTTGGTAAATCACTGTTAAACTGACCTACTTAACTCTTTTTTTTTTTTGGTGGGAGGTACTATGCACAAAGAGGCATTTACATATTTGAAGTATATGTAACTTCTGTACCTTAGTTGCTCAAAGCCAACTGCCCTTCCCAGCTGCCAACAGTACTTATCTGTTTTCAGAACTTTTTCTAGTTTTCTGCATCTTTCCTTCTGTGGTACTGGAATTGCTCTTAAATGTTAACCAAGGACAATATTTAGAGAGAGGAAAAAAAAAAAAAGTCCTGTCAGTCAATGCCTACCATATTATCCCCAGAGCAGATGCACAGAGAGGCTAAATCTAGGAGAAGGTTACAATCTTCTCATCAAAACTTGATGAAAATTCCAATCTCTTGTCAGTATAAATGACCAAACTGTTAAATTCTAGATGCTTAAATCTGAATAAAAGACAAGAAAAGGAATGCTATAGAAAGATAAGCACGGAAAACAGAATGTTCCTGAATTTTTGGAAGGGGTGGGAAGGGAACATGATCTAGGCGGCAACTTCTTTTTGATGATACTTCTTGTCTTCTAACACTGTTTCACAACATACACATCCAGTTCTTGTGGCATGGTCTGTCCCTATTTCTTAGAGAGGCTAGGCTGGTGCCATCCTTACACTCCTGAAGCATAACCGACTGATTGTGACAAGGTGGGTGATGGAGAAGACTGGAAGAATCTCTACACTGTTCATGTGGACTGTTTAGTTACTAATGCGTGTAAAAAATGCATTTTTCCTTTTTCAAAACAAAAGAAGCTTTGATGGTTCACATGTGGTTTGCCAAAGCTCCAGTGCTAGACAGTTCAAAAACAGCTCAGACAATTCAAATATTTACATTTACAGCTAGATTTGCAAATACTGTTCAAATGTTCCAGCATGTAATTTCTTACCAAAAATCTGCTGAAATGAAGCAGGATGAAAATTTCAGCTATGCTATGAATATTCTTTCAGGTCTGGAGCCAAGAATTGTCACTAGATGGGATGTTCAAAAATATGCAAGACAAGCCTATGACTTAGGAATTCGTTACATTGGGGGCTGCTGCGGATTTGAGCCATACCACATCCGAGCAATAGCGGAAGAGCTGGCTCCTGAAAGAGGTTTTCTGCCAGAAGCTTCTGAGAAACATGGTAGCTGGGGGGATAGCCTGAGCATGCATACCAAACCCTGGGTCCGAGCAAGGTACGTATGTGTGAACTGCAGAGCGCACTGGTGTAGACTTTGCAAGACTGTATATTGATCCATCTTACAGACCAACTTCACCAATACAGAGAGCTAAATACCACTGTAACCATTCTGTGTTAGTCATTTTGAAGAATTAAATCTGATCTGGGAGCAGTGAAAGGGAAGAAGGAGCAGTAGGAGAACTCAAAATCCTTAACTTCCTTTAAATGAAAAATTGGTCTAAAAGAGTGTGAAGATTAAAGTTAAGTCAGTTAAGATAGTCAGATTTGTGTAAAACAGCTCCTAATAGTGAGTGACTTACAGAGGTCCTCCTGAAGGATGACAAGATGCATTTTAAATATGTAGCACTTCATTGCATGTTTTCATTCATCCTCCTTTATTGAAATATAAAATGAATCTATGCAAGTTAGACAACTCTCTGCAGTTAAGCCACCATTATGTTATGAGATGCTGAAACAAATATTAAGGTTTCCTTTCTTTACTTAGAGCAAGAAAGGAGTACTGGGAGAATCTGAAGCCGGCTTCAGGCAGACCCTATTGTCCTTCATTGTCAAAGCCAGATGGATGGGGAGTGACCAAAGGAGCCAGAGAGCTGATGCAGCAGAAAGAAGCAACCACTGAGCAACAGCTGAAGGAGCTCTTTCAGAAACAGAAGTTTTAATCCACGGTCGTTGCCTAAATGTCAGAATGATTTATCTACAGAGCATCTCATGCCTTACAAGAGAGAATTAGTGAGGATGGGTATCCTGATAATTTATCAGTTAACATGTAATGAGAGGAACTAACTGTAGACTGTAGAATGTGATTACAAATCAAGTATGTCAAACTTTGTCAATAAAATCCTTGTCTGGACTAATATTTTAAAACCTCCCAGAAAGAAGGTGCTTGCGATTCTCACAGTGATTGAACTACTCTAACTGCTGATATTTAGCTAAGTGTTATTAATTAGGTAGATACTGAAATGCATGGAAAATCGGCTCAACTTACCAGCAAAAAAGAAAGAAAAAGCCATTTATAAATGCTGTGTCATTGGATTTCCAATCCTAGTCTGTTTTCAGCTGGGGATTTGTTGAGGCATGTGATGGTAATGCTTCAGAGTTATCAATAGTCACCTCCTTGACTTCAAGAGAAAAAGGTAAACTGAAAAAGACATCACGAAAAATGAATCAAAAGGCAAGGACAATAAGGATGGGGTTGTGTAGGAATCTCCTATATGTAGGAGTAAAATTCAGAGAGAACTTTCAGGAAACAAAAACCCTAGGTAAATAAATCTCACTGTTTTGGAATGAAGATGCCATATACTCTGGATTTCCTCCTCTGGAAAATAGATTTTTCCACTCTAGAGAGTAGAAGATTAAGAAATTATTCTGAAGTTTTAAAAACTGAATAAATAAGAAGTAACACCATAGGATCATAACTGCAATATCTGCATACCTTAAAACATAGGACCTCAAAAAAAATAACATGCCCCCAGTCAACTATTGTAAATTTCAAATGAACCAGCTGGCTTTTGGATATGTCACTTGAAACATTTGCTCATCTCAAGATTTCATTTAAAGACATAAAGATTCTTAAAATACAAGGAAAATTACGTGAATTCTTGTTTCTAAGAGCTATAAAACATACCATAATGATATTTTTTAGCATAATGATTCAGTCTAGAAAAAGTTAAATGTAGGAAAACATGGAAAATGCTGTTAGGAAATAGATAAATCCACACAAGCTAAAACAAATGAACAAAAAAACACTGACATTGTTGAGATGGTGGAGTGTTTTTTTTTTTTTTTTTTTTTTTTTTTTTTTTAGGAAGGACATCACTACCCTTGGAAACCATACATTTCCATAGCTTATTTTGTGAAACACCCTAAAATTTAAATTTGTCTCTAGAATCTCATTGTTTAAAGCTTTTGATGGGCTACTTGTTTTTTATGCGTAAGTCTGTGTCATTATTGCTATATTGACATTCTGCAGTCCAGGAAATATTTTAGTAAATAACAGTTTAATGGGATACTTCCAGTACCCTTTTTAGGCTGTTACTGGCTGGCACACTTGAGGGAAGCTCATCTGCTTTCACCATGTTTGTAACAGCTTACAACAGTTATGACCTGGAGAACTTGTCTTAAAGCCGAACCACAGTGGATACTTTTAAATGTAGCTTATTTAGAAAGCATCTATGCAAGTGTACTTGCACCACATTAAATTCCTTTTCTTCCTAAATCCTTCTGCAAGTCCTTCCTGCAGAAAGTGGAATGATACAAAATCTACAAAATAAAAAAGATCTTTGATCACCGCCCAAACGCACACAGCATTAATGAGGTATGCATGACAAGGTGGTTTCAGATACATTCTGCAATTGTTAAAGAGGAGCTTTTGACAATCATTAGCAGTCTAGCGAATTCCTGAGGCAAAGGATGCATCTGGACTGTTTGAAAATATTCCAGTATTGAAAAAAAATACTGTTGAAATGAATATGAGATCATTTCCTGAATCAGATATTTAAGAACCATGGCATTTCAGAATGGGCTTCAATGTGATTTTATGCACTTACTTTTATATGTCTATTTTTTAAAAAGGGTCCAAATTTTAACAGATATTAATGAGTACAGGAAACATTTTTTTTTGAAGTTTTTGAAGCCATTCAAGTCGAGTGCTTACCCAGTAGAGACACTACCCAATCCCTGTTTGATACTTATTACTGGCTGTGCTTAGACATTGACCACAGGATGAAAACAAGTTAAAAGGGTGCTCCTTGTTGATCTCTGTGTGATACATCACTAAAGAACCTGCAAACCACTGGAAAAAAAAAAGGGGCAGGCAGTGAAGCCAATAAAACTTTATTTCCCATTTCTTTCTGTGCAAAATCTTGGTCAGAGATAACCTGTTAGATTTGCTAAAGCTTTCCACTGGTCTGTTATGTGACCCATTAAATATGACAGACAAGAGAATCTGAGGAAACCTTTTTCTTTAGGAAGTCTGTTTCTAAACTTAGATAATTAAAGCTGAAATGGGCTTCAGAAGGACAAGAGCAGATCTGAACACAGCATACTTTGGACGCTTTCTATATGTTATTGGTAGTACACATGAGAAAATGTCAGCTCCAAAATTCTAAGGAACCTCATGCAAAAACAAAGCAGCCTAAAACATGCAGCTGAATAGTCAGATATGCTTTCACAGAACCATAGAATAGCTGAGCTTGGAAAGAACCTCTAGAGATCATCTACTCCAACCCCCTGCTCAAGCAGGGCCACCTAGAGCACATGGCACAGTCCGGTGGATCTTGAATATCTCCAGAGAAGGAGATTCCACAACCTCTCTGGACAACCTGCTCTAGTGCTCTGTCTCCATCACAGTCACGAAGTTTTTCCTCATATTCAAGTGGAACTTTCTGTGCTTCAGTTTGTGCCCATCTTGTCCTGTCTTAGGCCACCACCAAAAATAGTCTGGCCCCATTCTCTTGACACCCTCCTTTCAATTGCTTGTTTACTTTGATCCCCAGTCAGCCTTCTCTTCTCCATGCTAAACAGGCCCAGCTCCCTCGGCCTTTCCTCACAGTTGAGATGCAGTCCCCTAACATCTCTGTAGCCCTATGCTGGACACTTCTTTCCTTGTTCTTTGGGAGGAGACTTTTAAAAAAAATCCTACCTAATACTAAATCTCCATGTATCATGTACTTCTTTTTAAAGCCCCTATGAAACGTTGCAGTTTGAAAGCCATAGTGGTGGTGGGGGAGGGAGGTGGAAGGAGATATCAAATCAGTACTGGATTCATGAACAGTCTGTAGACCGTAGGTCTGATTGCCTTCCTAGGAGCGAATCGAGTTCCCAAATAGTGTGATCAACTATAAGCTCAACCCTGGCAGTACTGGATTCAGAAAGAGCCTGTCACTGTAGGTCCGATCGCCTCCCCCCAAACAAGTAGTCAAGTTCACAAACAGTATGAGTTATTCAAATGCAAAAATGCAACATTTACAAAGCAGGTTTCGGATGTCAGTACAGGAAATTCTTTACTACAGCGTGGCGTTTTTAGGTAGCTCTGAAGTACAAATGTGCAATCATCACTCACCCCAGAAGGTAGGAGAGGGCTCTCAGTCTTGAGTCTCCTCAGGCAGCATTTCCAGTCTGAGGGGAGGAAAGGGGGATCAGTGCATCGACTGATCCAAAACTTATGATGGAATCTTCCCTCTCACTCCTTAGTCTCCTCAGGGGGTGTTCCAGTCTGAGGGGAGGAAAAGGGAATCAGCCTGTTGACTAACCCAAGAGTTAGGATGGTTTCTTCCTTCCCCACTCCTTAGTCTCCTCAGGCGCCGTTCCAGTCCGAGGGGAGGAAAGGGGGCTCAGCCCGTCGACTGACCCAGGAGTTACGATGGATTCTTCCCCCCTCCTTTTAATCCTTAGTTCACCTTTTATACTCTTCTTTACATTCAGGTGGAGCTTGAGTGACTATGGTCATACTTAATATTGTTATTGATTGGTGAAAAAGTTTCTCGCTTTCATTTAAAGGTATAGTCAATTGAAAATCTAGAGTGCCTACTCGGTGAGGGGTGGTCGTACCTTGGAGGCGGGTAACTTTTGGGATGGAGGTGTGTTTTGACATTATAATGAGCAAAGTTCAAGCAAA